CAGTGTTTGAGTAGAAGTTGTAGGTTCTTCTACTGATCTCTTTGCACTCACCTAACAAACATTTTTCAAGTATATATCATGAACCAGGATGGTCCTGCATGCTGGGAGTATGGGAGGAAACAAAACAAAGGCTTTCTTCCTCCTCATGGAGTTTACTTCCTAGCAACAAGAGCAAAGTGTAAGCAAGATACAGAGTGAATTATAAAGAAATCACATAGTTTTTAGTTAACAAATGGGAAGGAAGAAGTCAATAAAAGGAGCTAATATAGATGCTGACCTTGTATGGCTACATTGGGATTTAATTAAAAATGTAGTTTCTCAGTCACTCCAATGACAGTTCCTGTCCTCAGTGGCCAGGCAGTGGCTATTCTGTTCAGCCCCAAGGCTGAATTCCCACCATTGCAGAAAGTTCCATTATTTAGTTGGTAGTGGGTAGAGATACATGATTTTTATTCATTTGGGTTTTTTTTTTTGAGAAAGGTTCTTATGGTTGCCTTAGCTGGTCTTCAATGATCCTGCTATCTCAGCCTCCTGAGTAGCTGGGACTACGTACAGGTAACACCACCATGTCCAGCTCCAATATACAAGTTTTCAGCTGAGTTGTCAGGGAAGATCGCATTTAAATGACAACTCTTTAAGTAAAGACCTGACTGAGTAGGTGGGGCTGATGGGTTTGAGCTGTGTGCTTTCAGGAGTGAGGGTGAGGCAAGAGTGTGGACGCACAATCTGTGCAGCAAAGGATGGGGTAAGAACAATAAGCAGAAGGAACAGATCCTGGAAGGACTGGATTTTTCCTGGATGAGATGAGACCTGTGAGAGGTTTTGAACAGAGTTGCATAGCCCGATACAGGTTTTTAATGGTGTCATTCAGGCTGCTATGATAAAGATAGACTGCAGGTGGGCTGAGGTCAAAGTGGGGGGAGAGAGGGACAAGTAGTAGTGGAGGTAGCAGAGAGAGAGACACAGAGAGAGGAGAGAGAGAGAGAGAGAGAGAGAAGGTGTACTAGTAATGTAGTAATGGAGCTTGAACTCAGGACCTCAGCATTGTCCCTGACCTTCTTTTTGCTCAAGGCCAGCACTCTACCACTTGAGCCACAGCTCCACTTCTAGCTTTTTGGTAGTTTAGTGAAGACAGGAGTCTCACAGACTTTCCTACCTAGGCTGGCTTTGAATTGTGATCCTCAGATCATAGGTATGAACCACTGCCACCCAGTTTGAAGATTCCTGTCTCCTCATTTCCCTTATTTTTTCAAATTTTGTTTTTTGAAGATTTGGGCAACACCATGACTGATTCAAGTATAGGTATGAAAGAGAGAAGAGTCCAGCATTTTCTTGTCTGAGCATCTGGAAGTCATAAGACACTGGGTTTGAGGCTCTCCCTCTTCCATTCCTTCTGGCCACCGGGAGGCTCCCTTTGGACTTGCTACCTTTCTCCACCTTTTGACTTCATACCCCTAACCTCTGGGTTTCTTGTTAGCAGTTATTCTTTCTCTTCTTTCCGAACCTAGAGAGCTTTATTTACCACAGTCTTCATTACCAGCTCAGCTCCTCCCTGTGTCCATCTCATTGTGCTCAGGGCTGACTTCCACCTCTAGGCCTTGTCCTACCCACACTGGGCCAATGGACACTTCTATAGTCCTCCTTTGCATTCCAGGCTGCTTCCCTTGGGATCATGCATTACAATATCATGGCTTGCTTACCTCTCCATTGGCTACCCTTGAGAAAAGATGGTTGCTTATTTCCCCCAAGAGTCACTCAATAGCATTGAGTAAAGACCATTTTAAGTCAAAGAGAAACAAAATAAAAGTCCTGAGGAACCTCTAATTGGTTGGACAAACTATCCTTTTCTGTCACCTGTATTTGTATTTAGCATGGGGCTATTTTCCAAATGCAAAGGTATGTGAAACAGCATTTAATTTTCTCTGCGTTACTGGGAAAATTTTGCTTTAAATAATAAACTTATATACAGATAATGTTTTAGAATAATAACACCTGTGATTTGGATATGTGTTTTAGGAGCAACTTTGACCTACCTCATGAGTCCAAGATTTTTGATTTATGTAAGCTGTGCCTTATCGATCTGGGTAAGATGAAGAAAATGCAATTTATAGTTTTAGATGGTCAAGAAAATTGTAATATTAAGGATATGAGAATTTCTCAGAATGGTAGATGCAAAATGTGTGTATGTTTCTGCTTATAGAGCAGACAGAAAAATGCATAAAGCACATAGGAAGGCTGATTGTGATACCTACTTTTAAAGTGGATACCAAGGAACCACCCCAGCAAAGAGCTAGGCCATAGCCAACCTCCAGGACACCCCATCGCCTTCCTCAGCCAGAAAAAGTAACCATGGGCCTTATTTTTTTTGGGGGGGGGTCAGTTTGGGGTCAGGGCCTAGGTAATGTCCCTGAGCCTCTTTGTGATCAAGGCTGGCACTCTACCACTTGAGCCACAGTGTCATTTGTGGGTTTTGAGTGGTTAATTGGAGATAAAAGTCTCACAGAAACTTTTCTGCCCAGGCTGGCTTTGAACTGTGATCCTCAGCTCTCAGCCTCCTGAGTAGCTAGGATTACAGGCATGAGCCACAATGCCCAGCTGGACCTCATTTTTTTACCTCATTTTTTTTCTTTTTTGGTTGGTCATGGGGCTTGAACTCTTGGCCTGGGCACTGTCCCTTAGCTCTTCAGCTCAAGGCTAGCTCTCTACCACTTGAGCCACAGTGCCATTTCCTGTTTTCTGGTGGTTTTTACTGGAGATAAAAGTCTCACAGACTTTTTCGTGCCCGGACTGTCTTTAAACTGCGATCCTCAGATCTCAGCCTCCTGAATAGCTAGGATTACAGGCGTGAGCCACAGGCACCTGGCTGGGCCTCATTTTATAGCATTGGCTTCCTTGATTTTCTTCTTTTTGTGTTTTTTAAAATTGTTTTTGTTTTACTACTGTTGTAGACATCCTTTACTGATGAAGTTTAGTCTTTGAACTTTATATCCAGGAAATCTGACTATATTCTATTTTTGCCTTTTGTCTTTTGCTCAGCATGGGATACCCATGTTGTTGTAAGTATCCTTGGTTTGCTACTTCTCATTACTGTATAGTATTTCATTGCACAGCTGGTTTAAGTCATCTTTCTGAACAATCAGGTGTTATTTTTTCTTACTTTATTGAGTCTTTTTTGTATTATCTTTATTTTTCTAGTTCAATTTCTAGTTACAATTTTTGCTCTTACCTTTAAAAATATAATTCTATTATTATTATTAAGGTGTAGTACAGAGGGGCTACCATCTCATAAGTCAGGTAATACGTACATTTCTTTTGGGGGCAATATCACCCCTTCCTTCACTTTGTACTGGTTTCCCCCTCCCATCCATGCACACAAGTTACATAGTTCATTCTTCACCTAGTGTATACTGAATAGCATGATCGCATTTGTTCACCCTTCCCTTCCTGTGCCTTCCCCTTTGCCCCAACTAAAGAACAAAAACCAAAAGCAAAAACAAACACCACCAGCAGTACCACTAGCACCACCAAAACCCATATTTCCATTTTCTGGATAGCCTGACCTTTTTTGAATGTGTATGGTACTGGAGATCAAACCCAGGCCCTTGCTTAGATTTTAGACAAGCGCCCTACCACTGAGCTATACCCTCAGTCCTCTGCTCTTACCTTTATTACCACCTTTCTTCTATCCTTTTGGGTTTCATTTGCTGTTCAATGTTTACCCCTACACTCTTTTTGGAAACAAGAGCTCACTGCACAGCTCAATCTGGTACAGAAGTCACGGTCCTCCTGCCTCAGCTTCCTGAATGCTGGGATTAACGCATGTACCAGTATACCCAGCTTCTATATACTGAGGTTTTAGTTTTAAGTTTTTATTGTGATTGATACATATATTTATATATATATATTATATATATATTCTGGGACATATATATACACATACATACGTATATATATTAGTCCTAAAATTTGTATCTATTTCTTGGAAATTGGCCATGTCACTCTGTACTTTCCAATTCCCTGATCAGATTTCCAGAGTTGGCATTTATGTCCTTAGATAGAATAAGTAAGCATTAAGATTTTATAGTTCAGGTCGATAATTCAGATACTAGAGCTCTCAATAGGCCAATCTCTGTTGGCTGTTATTTAGTTGGATTTTACTTCTGGTGCTCCATTTCCTTATGTGAGTGGGTATCTTTGATTAGGTCTCACTTTTTAGAATTATTGCTGGAGGACTTTGAGGCCAAAAATAACATCTTCTCCCTTTAGTGAATGGCCCCTCAGATGTATAGAAGGTGCCAGTCATTTGCCTGTGATTGAAACTGCAATCGTTACTGGGCACTGCTGCTCACGCCTATAATCCTAGGTGCTCAAGAGACTGAGATCTGAGGATTGCAGCTTGAAGCCAACCTGGCAGGAAATCCCTGAAACTCTGATCTCCAATTAACCTGGCAACAAGACAGAAATGGAGCTGTGGTTCAAGTGGTAGAGCACCAGCTTTGAGTAAATGCTAAGAGATATCACCCTGGCCCTGAGTTCAAGCCCTAGTACCAGCACCAAACAAAGAAAAAACAAAAACAAAACTTCAATTGCTGGTGGAAATGATAATGTTGTTCAACTCAAGAATTAATCCTAGTTCAAGGCTTGGATTTCCTGGACCCTGAAGATGAAGTATCATGACTAGGAAGGCAGGTTTTCTTCTAGTACCCCTCTTTACTCTAAGGGTAGAATGGGCTTGTTTTGTCTGTGGTCCATAGAACTGCAGGCCTACTTCAGAGTTTTTACTTCTCATCAGCAGATTATTCTCCAGAAAACCTTCTCTACTTTTATTCTCCTACATATTTGTTTGTTTGGTGTTTTTCTCATTAGCTGGTTGACTCTTTGGCGCATTTAAGATTTTTAAAAACATTTGTTAAAAATAGGGCTTTTTCAAGTTATATGTATTTTGCATAATGGTAAATTATAATTGTACTGCATAAAGGAATAGTTTTTACCTTCTTTGTTTTGAGTTCTTTGGAACAAATGCATGGTTCTGGATTTTAACTTGCTTCCGCCTAGTTTATTTGGTGATGACCGTGTGCTTTGCTTCTGCTGCCTGCAGGGAGACCGAATGTGGCACTTTGCTATGTCTGTGTTCCTGATAGAACTGTACGGACAAAACCTCCTTCTAACGGCAGTGTTCGGCTTAGTGGTGGCTGGATCTGTGTTAATATTTGGGGTCTTAATTGGTGACTGGATTGACAGGAAGCCGAGAAATAAAGGTAATATTCTTCTTCCTGACACATGTAATTATGTGGTACATTCTGACCTCACTAGCTGTGGAGATTTGTTTTATTTAGTGAAACAAAATAATAGAGCTGAGCTAAACTGCAGTAGGCATAACTTTAAAATTCTATGCAAAAAATGCCATAGAAGGAATTATATAACTCTGTGACATATTTATACTACAGTGCTATATAATAAGTGTATGTTTGGTACTAGGGTTGATCCAGGCCCTTGTGCTTGCTAACCTATACTCCTAGCCACATTTAAAGTATTTTAATGTGTTTTTTAAATCTTACCTATTTATTTTTTGTGCTATTAGGAATCAAATCCAGAGCCTCACATATACTAAGCAGGTATTTTACCACTGAGCTACCCCTCTCGCCTTTAAGAAGTATTACTGTTGTTTAGATTACTACCGAGTGAACATTTTAAATATTACATTACTGAAAAACATTTGTGTGTGTATATGTGTACGTCTGTCTGTATATTTGTATGTATGTATGCATGTATATCTTTGCGACATAGTCTCACTATGAAGCCCAAACTGGCCTTGAATTCATGTTCCTCCTGCTTCAGCCTTTCCAATACTGAACTTCTAGGAGTGCACTATTACACCTGGCACAACATGCTTTCTTGTAAATGTTCTTATATTACTTATGTATAATGTCTGAGTTATTTTAATTTCAGACTTTCTGTGTGTAAATCATGTCTTTTGTACCAGATGGCATATCTGAACTAGAATTGATACTTATTTGCTCAAATTGTTTTCTTTTCACTTTTGGTCATATCTTCTCTCTTTTGGGAATGATAATGGGATTTGAACTCAGGGCCTCACATTTTGCTAAGCAAGCAGTTCTCTTACATGAGCCATGCCTCAGTCCTGGTCTATTCATTTGATTACTAGTTATCATGGTATTTTTTTTTTTTGTTTTTACATTACTCAGGATCTAGAAAAGGCATTAGTTGGAACCTCACCATGGAAAAGCCCAATTTATTTAAAATCTGGAATGTTACCCTTTAGGCCCAATTGATAACTGTAGCACAAACTACATCCAGAAGGATCACAAGCAGTAGAAGATTTCAAGTTCTCTAATTTTGCTTGAATCTGGTTTCTCATATCATCTTTCTCTGAAAAGGCTCTTTTTTTTTTTTTGGTAGCAGTACTGGGGCTTGAACCCTGGGCTCTGTCCCTTTGTCCCTTGGCTTTTTTGCTCAAGGCTGGTGCTCTACCATGTGAGCCACAGTTCCATTTCTGGCTTTTTTTATGCTGCTTAATGAGAGATAAAATCTCATAAACTTTCCTCCTTGGGCTGGCTTCAAACTGCATCCTCAGATCTCAGCTTCCTGAGTAGCTAAAATTACAGGTGTGAGCCACTAGGTGCCCAGCTTTCCAAGTACGTTTTAATTCACTTACAAAGCTGGCTTTTTTGTTTTGTTTTGTTTTTTTTTTTTAATTTGATTGCAAAGGCTTTTCAACCTAAGCCTGTGATTGCTGATGAAGAACCAGCCAGGGTCACCACTGGGATCTGGTCAACTGAAGTGGCTCTTATTAGATACCCATGTAGCTGTGTCCTGCCTCCTAAAACCAAGAGCAAATCTTGGGTGTTTCTGTTTGCAGTTGCTCACGCCTCGCTCTTCATTCAGAATGCCTCTGTCACGGCCTGCTGCGTGGTTCTGATGCTTGTCTTCTCCTACAAAAGGGAGATGGAACAAATCTGGCGTGGCTGGCTCACTGTGAGTGTCTCTCTCCCCTCCTGTGCCATGAGCACCAGTGTCAGACACACATCAAACCTCCATCATCTCTGCACCACCTGCTCCCTGGCATGGGATCTGGCTAATCTTCTAGCAATGCCTCCACCACCCCCACCCTCCGACTTCTAATTTGTGAATCAAATCTCTCAGACATGGAAGCAACAGAACAGACTTGCAGAATCTGTCTGCAGGGTATGAATTAACAAGGGATCTGGTGTAATGGTATATGGGGAAGAAAATGTTTAGCTTTAGTGAATGTTAAGTTTCAGACTTACTTCGAGCCTTTTCTCTCAAGGGTCTTTGTGTTCATTTACATGCTGCTCAAGCTGGCAGATAAATAACGAAGTGTCACAGTGGGCTGAAAAGGCCTCCAAACTCTCCTTTCCCTCCTTCGGTAGGTAGTGTGCTACGCTTCGGTGATCACCCTGGCTGCCATGGCAAATCTGGCTGGCACGGCGCTGACCATCACCATTCAGAGGGACTGGATTGTGAGCCTCACGGGTGACAACCGAGGCCAGCTGGCTGGTGAGCCTGGCCCATCCTCAGATTAGCTGAGGAGCCACTCAGAACAATGTGGCTACCTCCTAAGAGGCAGGATCATAGTCTGGAAAATAGAATTTGGAGCCAACCAGATCTGGGTTTGAATTCAGCTTAAACAAGCCAAGCATCTCACAGCTGCATGTTACTTTTTACCTGGGGCAAGTTACTAACTTCTCCAGGCCCGACACTCCAAAGAATGGAGCAAGTGAACACACACTTGCACATAAGTATATGCCATACACACACAATACCAGACACACTCACAAATAGACCACACACATGCACATATATTCATGTGTACATAAATGCATGCCACATGTATACAACCCACAGAATATATACCCCCACCACACTCACATATACACATGCCATGCACATATACAAATATATATACACATACATACCACACATATGCACATACAAGCACAGAGACACACAGATATATACACACTTTACACATAAACATATATATATACTACACATATGCTATTCACAGATCACAACATGCACACGTATGCACACCTAACACATGTAGTACACACACACGCATACACACACACACACACACACACACACACACACACACACACACACACACACACAAACCAACCTCCCTCCTTCCCGCCCTGGAGCTCACTTAGGGGAAGGAAGGAGTTTATGGCTTCTGGTATTTGTTAAGTGTTTAACAATATTTCTGCAGAGGAAATGAGTAAGAAATGGCTCACTGCTAATTACTGAAAGATAATTCTGTGTGTCAGGGTAGCAACCTGTTTTCTTTTCTGTTTCTTTTTGAGACAGGATTTCATCATGTAGCTCAGGCTGGCCTCCAACTCATAGCCCTCCTGTCTGATCCTCCTGAGTGCTGGGATTACAGGCAGGCACCACCATGTCTGGCTGAGAGGAGCTTTTTATTGGCAAGAGTTCCTTGGCAAGTCAAAATCTAAAAAATAAATGATTTAAAGGTGTTAAAATTCTGTCTAGTGAAAAGCTTTACCTTTCAAACAAAAATTATCCTTAAAAAGTGATTGTTGGTTATAACAGACAGCCGTGGTAGAATTATTTTCCAGGAAAGGTGTTCAATGGAAGAGTACAACACCATCTTTACTTTGTCTTCCATTTGCAAGACTTAGGAGGCTCACATTGTAGTATCTTCTAATTGCCCACTTATAGCTGACGATTTCACCCTACCCTGTATTTGTACCCTTGGTGCTGTGCTAGTTTTGATGGGCAACATAAAGGAAGCTATTAAGAGGGAGTCGATGAAAGTGCATGTCTCACAGAGAGTAGAAGCCCCTTATAATCATGTTTCCTTTTAAACTTTACGGATGTGGCTGTTCTGTGGCTTAAATAACACTACCCAAAATAAAGCAATTATGAGAGTGAGAGCTCGTGATGGTGCTTCTTATGTCCTCTTTCTCTGGGTAAAGAAAAGCTGCCTATCCTCTGCTAATTAATTTTAAAGAAATCTAAGGTAAAGCACAGAATCTAGTTCCAGGTCATTATCATTTTTAGAAAATGAACTTGTAAATAGTCTTAAATGATGGTGGAATACTTAAGGAAACAAGCTTTGGAGTAAGACTGCTGGGTTTAAATCTCAGCTCTACCAATTTCCTTCTCTGAGACCTGGAGCATGTGCCACTGTGTACTGTAACTTCCTGACTTGTTAAGAGTAAATTCTCTTGATTTCTTTGAGCTATGAGGACTAAATGAGTGAATCTACATAAAGGGCTTAGAACTTGGTACCTGGCACAGAGCAAGAATTCAACTCATTCTCATCTTTCCTTTTCCCTTGGTCCCCTACCCCCATTTCTATACTAGGCATAATAGTGGCTATTAATATTGTCCTTGTTAAGGTAAGCGAAGTGCAATGAGATGTGACTTAGAATGATTAGCTCTAGCCAGGCACTAGTGGCTCTTACCTGTAATCTGACCTACTCAGGAAGATGAGATTTGAGGATTATGATTCAAAGTCAGCCTGGGAAGAAAAGTCTGAGATCCTTCTGTCCAATTAATCAGCAAAAAGCCAGAAGCAAAGGACTGACTCAAATAGTAGAGTGCTAACCTTGAGCAAAAATGCTCAGGGACAGTACCCAGGCCCTGAGTTCAATCCTCAGTACCAGCACAATAAATCAATCAATGAATCAATCAAAGCAACTTAGTCTCTCTGTTCCTCAGTTTACTAATCTGCCAGTTGTTCTAGTCCACCAGAGCTGATCTCAAAGTTGGTTTTTCAGGTTTGAATCCTAATCTATAGTTAAACCAAAGAGTCTTTCTGGCTCTCAATATCTTCTACCCTGTAGCAATGGAAAGTTGGCCAATATGTGGTGTAAATTCACCTGTGGATGTGTACATCCATTGAGCCTCCATGTTTCCTCCTCTCATTCCAGGGATGAATGCAGCCGTCCGGCGTCTGGACCAGGTCATCAGTATATTTGCCCCCCTGTCTGTGGGACAGGTGATGACGTGGGCATCTTATGTAATTGGTTGTGGTTTCATTCTTGGATGGAACTTGCTTTCACTTCTTGTGGAGTTTCTATTTCTGTCCAGGGTTTATCAACTAGTTCCCCAATTGGCTGTAAAACCCCAGCAACGCTCAGGGGGGCATTTTCTAGAACGGCCACAGGAAGCTGTGAACATCCAAGGTAATGCAAATTCAGAGAGACCTCTTGTTCAGTTCCTTATTCTTGTTGTAAGCATTTCCCTTTTGCTTTCCAGAGCTTGTGTCCAATTACATGCTTAACGTGTTGTATGAAATGTGCTAGACACAGTGATAAATGAGAAGCCAATGAGATAATATATGAGAAATGATAAATGGCCATGCCACTGGTAGTACAGGTCATAGGACTGATCTTATTGATGGGGAAGGCAATGCTATTTTGTATAATTACACAGATTGTGCATTGCCTAAGTCTACTCAGACAGACTGTATTGTAAATAGCACTCTAGGGCTTGTGTAATGTACAACATATACAACTATCCTATGGTCCTGGAGGGCAGATTACTCCTTATTTCCTTCATAATCATCTTCATCAAAGATGCTAGAGTAAGAGAAGGCTGGATGTTGGTGGCTCATGCCTGTCACTCTAGCTACTCAGGAGGCTGAGGTCTGAGGATCATGATTTGAAGCCAACCTACAGAAAAGTCTATGAGACTCTTATCTCCAATGAACCACCAAAAATCCAGAAGTGGAGGTGTGGATCAAGTGGCAGAGCTCTAGGCTTGAGTGGAAAAAGCTATGGAACAGTACCTAGGCCCTGAGTTTAAGCCCACACACGCACACATGCATACACACACACACACACACACACACACACACACACACACACACGCCACAGAAAGACAAGTGTGTTAAGGAAAAAGGAATGTGGGTACTCTTTGGTCAGGATAATTTGATGATTGAGAATCCTTGTTCTCAACGATGTAGGAACCATCACTGACCATCAACAACATTGCCCTTCTACTGGTCCAACATAGTGCAGGAGTTGCTTCTGACTCAAGTTCCCTTTACAAATAATTCTCTTTTCTCCCCGGTTGTTTTGCATTAAGGCCTAGCAAAACCCAACCGCATGAATGAAACATGTGGGTATTAGTGCAGATAAATAGATATACCTATTTAGCTGATAGATGGATACCTAAGCCCTTGCCTTCTTAGCTGCTCATGCACTGCCTACATGACGTTGTAAGGTTACTTTATTTAGATTCTCTGTCTGTCTGTAAAGTACAGCAATGAAACTGTTTTCATCAAGATATTGTGACAACCAACTAGGATGGTCTATGCAAAGCCTTATGACATGTGGTAATGCTTGTCAATGTTAGCTTTTTTTTTATTGCTTTTGTTATTTTACTAGATTTTTCCCCAACTTGCCCAGGCAAAAAATTAATTCCTGTAATGAAAATCTATCCCTACTACCTCATTCTCGGACTGTAATGTATTTGGCTGTGTGTACATTCTCCTCCCTCAGATTCCTGTCAGCTTCAACTTTTGCTGATGTTAGCTTCATTTATGTGGAATCATTCTCACCAATAGTTATATATTTTCAGTCTTATAGTCATTGTCTGACATAACCTAAGAGACTGAGAGATATTCACACACACACACGCACACACACATCGCCATAGAAGTATATGCTTCTTCTATATAATAGCTCAAAGAAGTACCTCTCACTGCTTCTGGGGGCTCATTCCCAAATTTCAAACATATCAAGTTTTCCCCTGGTCTCCGCCCAACCTCAGTTTCCCATGCCAGCTCTCTTGATGGGGTACTGTGTCTTCATTTGGGTGGTCTCAAAAACTCCTCTTGAAACTTTGGGTGAGAATGAGCTATTTGGAATGAGACCCCAAGAAAGTTAGTGGAGGAATGGGAAGTGACACAGAAGTTTTTGCATGAAGGGACTTGCTGAGAGACTGCGGGATGGAGCTCAGAAATAGGTTCAGGCACTGGTGGATCCCATCTGTAATCCAATCTACTCAGGAGGCAGAGATCTGAGAATCTCAGTTCAAAGCCTAAGTAAAAAGTCCCTGAGACTTTTATCTGCAATTAACCACCCAAAAGCTGGAAGTGGAGATATGGCTCAAATGGTAGAGCACTAGCCTCAAGCAAAAAAAAGCTCAGGACCCTGACCTCAAACCTCAGGACCAGCACAAACACAGAGAAGGGGCAGGGAGAGAATATTGTCTCATCAATGGCCTGGCAAGCTGGGCTGTTTACTTAGCACCTATGTCACTCATTGTGACAGTTGTGACCAGGGATCTTTCACAGCCTACCCCTTGTATTCCAGGACCTACACAGAACTCTTTAGGTAGACTGACACAAAGACTTGGTGACAGGAAGACATGAGTGTGTATAGGAACTGCTCAATACAGAAACAGATGAGGCAAGGATAGGATGAAGGATATAGCAGGGTGTGGCCTTCAAGCTTGCCTCAGTTTGATTTGTGTGTGTGTGTGTGTGTGTGTGTGTGTGATTATTAGTAATTGTATAAAGGGGTTACTATTCAATTTTATTGTAGGTGAAACAGACTTTTGGGAAACTACTGCCGGTTTCATCCACAAATCCGGATCTTTAGACAAACCGAAAGACCACAAATCTAACCTTGAAGGACAGTGGAACACAGCCAGTGGGTTTCGCCTTTGCCTTCAAACCATGCGTAGGCTGCTCCGCACATGCCGTGAGGGCTGGGAGACATACTGCAGGCAGAGCGTGTTCCTGGCTGGCCTGGGCCTGGCATTCCTCTACATGACAGTCCTGGGCTTTGACTGCATCACCACTGGCTATGCCTACACCCAAGGGATCGGAGGGTCTCTGCTTAGCATCCTCACAGCTCTCTCTGCTTTATCTGGCCTGCTGGGCACAATTCTCTTCACCTGGCTCCGGGGTCATTATGGTCTTGTCACCACAGGCATCATTTCCAGCTGGCTTCATGTAGGATGTCTAACGCTCTGTGTGTTTTCTGTCTTTGCTCCTGGAAGTCCTTTTGATATGGCTGTCTTCTCACTTCCACTAAACAAGAATTCTTCTTCAAACCACGAGTTGCTAAAAGAGGACCAGGTACATGTGTACTCCTTTGAAAGAAACCTGAACCAACCCATCCTTCCGGACCGTTCTTCCATCCACTGGACCAACAGCACCGTTCTGTTTAATGGACAGCAGGACCCTGAGCAGCCTGAGTCTTACATCTCCATCATTTTGCTCTTCTCAGGTGTGATCCTGGCAAGAATTGGTAAGCAGTGGGCTGTGTGTGGTGGGGATTGTGCAGCCTGTGATGTTGCTAACTTACCATCCATGCATGTGATAGCCTTAACCACTATGCCAGTGTGAGTCTTCATCATCCACTGAGAGCCTATGATATGACAAGGACTCTCTTATACATGGTGGAGATACAGGCAAGGTCTTAGTCCTGTGGGGTTCTCCATCTGAACTAGAGACCAGTAAGTAAGTAACTAACAACAGTTAGCACAATGGCCAAGAGCGGCTATGTTAGAGAAGGGAAAACGCACACAAGGGACTCCAAATTGCATCTTGAGGGTCTAAGAGGCCTTCTTATGGTGTAGGGGAGGCTGATCAAAGGCCCCTGGAGGACAAGTTTGGGCATGCATTGACGCTCCAGAGGTGCACAGTGGAGGTGCAAAAGATTTTGGAAATTGCAAAGAATGTAAGCTAGACACTGCTGGCACTCGCCTGTAATCTTAACTATTCAGGAGGCTGAGATCTGAGGATGAAGGTTGGAAGTCAGCCTGAGCAGAAAAATCTGTGAGACCCTAATCTCCAATGAACCACCAGAAATACAGAAGTAGAGGTGCAGGTTAAGTGGTAGAATGCCAGTCTTGAGTGAAAAAGGAAAGTAAGGGTATGAGTTCAAGCCCCATTACCAGTACATGTGCACAAGCATACACACACACACACACACACTTGAAAAATTGTACTTGCTGAGCATCAAGCACATACATGCTACCTACTGCAGATGGTATATATGTGGAAGGTATGTTTTGACCTGAATCTGCTGAATATTGGTGGAACTAGTATGAGGAGAGAAGAAAGAGCAATTTCATGGAGAAGATGCTGCTTGGGGGAGGGAGATGGACAATCTTCTCACAGATAGGGTGCCCGACACTGAGGCTACAAGCTTGTCTGCCCCACAGACCTGGGTTCTGAACTTTGCTGTCTACTGTATCCTTCATTTCTAGTGGTGGGAATGTACCTGCTTTCATTAGAGTACTTAATAAACAAAATGAAAAACTAGCTGGGTGCCGGTGGCTCATACTTGTAATCCTAGCTACTCAGGAGGCTGAGATCTGAGGATCACAGCTTTGGAAACAGCATGGGCAGGAAAAGTCCATGAGACTCTTATCTCCAATTAACCATGAGAAAAATGGAGCAGAGCTGTAGCTCAAAGTGGTAGAGTGCTAGCCTTGAGAGAAAAAAACCCACAAAAAAACAAAATACAAACATAAAATAAGCCAAAAAATCCCAGGGACAGTGTCTGAGTTCAGGCCCTGAGTTCAAGCCCTATGATTGACAAAAAAAAAAAAAAAAATTAAAAAACTATTGGACCTTCAATGCTTGGCAACCCCAATAATGACTTGTTGGGGAGCAATGGTGGTGACAGAAAGCAACTAAAAGCTCTTGTAATCAATGTAATCAAGCAATCATGAGATGGAAAGAGTCTCACTGGCTGCTGTTGATTCATACCCGTAATCCTAGCTACTCAGGAGGTTGAGATCTGAGGATCACTGTTTGAAGCCAGTCTGGACAGGAAAGTCCATGAGACTCTTAAGCTACAAAAAAGCTGGAAGTGGAGCTGTGGCTCAAGGGATAGAGTGCTAGCCTTGAGTAAAAGAGCTCAGAGATAGTGCTCAGGCCCTGTTCAAACCCCACTGGCACAAAACAACAACAAAAGGAGGTCTGGGCCTTGTTCTTTGACATAATTGGGTTTGCACCCTAACAGTATCATCTCTTAAATATATTTTTGTTTTGTTTTGTTTTGTGAACTGGGAAATATAGTTTTGTTTTGTTTTGTTTTGTTTTGTGAACTGGGTCTCATTGTGTAGCCTAAGCTGACTTTGAACTCAAGATCTTCTTGCTTCAGCCTCCAATGTGATGGGACAATGTGATAATGAGCCACTATACCTAGCTCAAATGGTACCATTTATTTTGCCCAAGCCTGTCTCCCACTATCCAATTGCAAATCACCACCTTCAAAGGCCCTCCCTGACAGCATAGTTCAGCCCCAGGGGCTTTCCCACCCTTTCCTCAGGTCAGAAACAGAGGGAGTGTCGAGTGTGGTGGCAGGTAGTGAAGGATGTGGATCAAAGCCCAAGCATGACTTTCCCATCCATCAATAAGCTTTGTCACATACTCACCCGGGTACCACATCCATTACTTCAGGCACTGATGCAGCACAAAGTCCCAGGGTCTTAGAGCATCTTCTTTGTCTCGAGGCCATGGTGGAGGATGGGAGGATTGTATTCCTGATGTCTGCAACATGGATTCATGAATCCCTTGTTGTGTAGATTCTTGGAAAGATTAGAAGAGAGGAAATGAGAGTTTTGAAGGCCCATATCAAGCAGTTTTGGTTTTTTTTTGGGTCCGGTCGTGGGGCCTGAACTCTGGGCCTGGGCGCTGTCCCTCAGCTCTTCAGCTCAAGGCTAGCGCTCTACCACTTGAGCCACTGTTCCACTTCTGGCTTTTTTCTTTCTGCTTATGTGGTGCTGAGGAATCGAACCCAGGGCCTCAGGCATGCAAGGCAAGCGCTCTACCACTGAACCACCTTCCCAGCCCAGTTTTAAAAACATAAGCAGAAAAAGCGGGAAGTGGCGCTGTGGCTCTAGTGGTAGAGCACTAGCCTTGAGCTGAAGAGCTGAGGGACAGCACCTAGACCCACAGTTCAAGCCTCATGACCTACAAAAACAAAAGAAAACAAAAACAAAACAAAAAACCACAGGCTAGGCTTGGAATCACATTCCTCTATTGGAAAGGAAATGTAAAAGAAATTGTACAAGACAACTGACTTAGAAACCTATTTTTTTTTCACCTAGAGATTATTTGGCTTACATATAGTTTAAGTGAGGTACCTATTGAGAGGATGATCTTTTCTATTGTGTTTTATTTGTCTGTCTAACTTTTGATCTCATAAAAGACTAGACTGGCCACTTAAGATTTATACAATGCATATTATAATGTGATTAAGGATTTCACTGTAAAGGGAAAATAAAACAGTCCACCAGGAACTGCAGTCCACCAAGATCCCTGGCTTTCCTGATGCAAAGGAAATGACCACATCTGGCAAACATGGGTGCATCTATAGAGCCTGCGGTCTGGGAAAGTTTGGCCTTTGCTGTGGCAGTAGCATTTTTCTCACTGTGTCCTGCATGAGAATTCCAAAGACATAGGTCTCTCTTGATACTCTGTATGTGTGGGTGTGTATATGTATGTATGTATATATGTATGTATGTATGTATGTATGTGTATGTATGTATGTATATATGTATGTATGCAATAGACTTGAACTCCTGGTCTCCAGCCCTTGCTCAGCTTTCTTGCTCATGGCTGGTGCTCTACTACTTGAGCCATGCCTCCAGTTCTGCTTTTTTGCTGGTTAACTGGAGATAGTCTTACTTTTCTCTCCAGGTTAGCTTCACACTACAATCCTCTAGAGTAGCTAGGATTACAGGCATGGACCACTTGTGCTTTGCTCCTGTTGATGCTGATACAATCAAGACCTGCAGCCAGGATGCCTCAGTCACTATTTCCTGATCTGTAAATGGGCAATGGGCAAACATACCTCCCTACCAGGGAGTCCTGAGAAGCTGCTAAGATAACTCCTATAGGTAATGTGCTTAGACAACACAAGATACATGTTAAAAACAGGTTGGAACACTCATCTTCAGTCACCACTGTCAGCCCTGTATTTTAGCTGTGATTTTGGTGCTTTACCAGGGCTATTTTGGGGGAGGGGCAGGGCACTGAGTCACAGGGAATCACAGTGTTAAATGGTAATGCTTAAGACCATGTGTTTCTATTAGGATTACAAATGACCTTGGGGTTGGTGGTGTGGTGTTGACCTGCCAACAACAACAACAAAAAACAAACAAAACAAAACAGACTACTGGTGCCCAGAAGGATGCAGTAGCTATGCCTCTGTTGGCAAGGCCAGCTTCCATGCCTGGTAGCCATGCCTGTTCCTCTCAATGTTGTGCTGTGGCCAGCCTTGTCTTTATCATGTATCCTCCAGGCACAGGCTCCACTGGGACTTTGCTCAGTGAAGTGGTTTTTCTACTCTAATGGAAGCAAACTTGCTTCTGCCTACAATAGCAATGGCACATTGCTTAAAAGCCACTTCCCTTCTTTTAACATCTAAGAACAGTAACTCTATGCCCTTGAGTTAGAAAGAATTCTCCGTGCATAATTAGCCCTCACTTCCTGGAGCACTGCACGTAGTACCATTGTAGCATTGTACAAATCGTCTCTGATTTTTGTAAGCCATGCCTGCTAAAGGCCAAGGATAAGGAATTTACATTGAGCTCTGCTGTAATCCAAGCTGGGCTGTGTGGGACATGGGTTTCAGCAGAGCCATTTGGAGAGTATGGGGCTTCCAGTGAGGCCAGGATAGCCCAGAAGGTGAGGGACTGGCTAAGGAATGCGGTGGGGGCCACAGCAGGGTAACTAGAACTGTCTGGGAGAACAGAGGGTCCAGCCAACTCTCTGTAACGGTGGATACTGGAGGACCTAGCATATTACCTCTAAATGATTCAAGTCCAGAACTAAGTTCTGGGACCAAGACCACTGCTAAGTCTTGGGAAAAGCCAGAGGAATCCTGGATAGGAAACCAGGTCCTGGTGGCTGCTTCAGAAACATGATAATGTAGCCTTTGGATGAGTAGCCTTTCATGCTTGAAAATAGGAAGGAGAAACAAGGGGTTGGTGGCTCACACCTGTAATCCTCACTGCTCAGCAGGCTGAGATCTGAGGATCACAGTTTGAAGCCAGCCTAGGCAGAAAAGACCATGAGACTCTGATCTCCAGTTAACCACCAAAAAACTGGAAGTAAAGCTGTTGCTTAAGTGGTAGAACACCAGCCTTGAGTGAAAAACTTAGGAAACAACACCCAGGCCCTGAGTTCAAGCCCTAATACTGGTGCAAAAAAAAAAAAAAAGTAGAAAGATGTCAGGAGCTCAATTTCTCATCTGCTAAGGCAGGAGTAAACAGGGGGAAAAAAAATCTGGAATTGAAGTCAATTTGAATCCCAAGATTTTGGTCTCTAGTCTAAACATTTTGCAATAAAATGGAAAAAATAAATTCATCTAAACTGAAGTTGGGGCT